TCAATCTTGAAACCTGCTAATGCACCAAATTCTTTTAATTTGCCCATTAATATTTTAATTCCCTTTAAAGGATCTTCCAGAACCAACACCAAGTTATAAGTTTCTTTTTTAATCTTTACTTCCACAACCCTCTCATCTTGTCTTATATCTCTGTTCTGAATTCAAATACACACACTGATTCAGAGGATCTTAAAGATTAATATACAATTGAGGCCAGAGGTTTTTCTTTTGGGATTGATGGACAAACAGTTGGAAAAAAGTCATGGAACTTTGTTTTTGTACATGATAACTGCAATAAGATTACTATATGCACAAAGATGGAAAGATTTGGCACTCCCCACAGCGGAGGCATGGTTGGTGGAGATGATGGAACTTGCTGAGATGGCTAAATTGACCCATCTGGTTAGAAAAAGAGACAATATCTACATTTATTGCTGACTGGAAACCCCTTATGGACTTTTTGCAGAAAACAGAAAAAAATTAACTTGTGATTTATGGTTTTCATGATTAGACAGGCTACATTATAGAAAGAAAAGAATTATGTTATAACCATAGAAGAAGAGGTAAATTTATAATTATAACTGCTGTAAAGAAGACCAGAAGCTACTTCTTTGTATCTTTTTTCTTTCTTTTCTATTTTTCTTTTCCTTTTTCCCCCCCTTTCTTGCACGTTTAGCTTCCTCTTTGATTTCTTTCTTTTTCTTTTCTTTTTCTTACTTTATATTAGTTTGTCTTCCTTTTTAAAAATCTTTAATAAAAATTCCCCCCCCCCCAAAAAAGGTGCCCATGATGACACCTTTGCAGATGGTGTCCCTTGCCAGTCAATCCAAGATCACCCAGCTGTCTGACCCAAATGTACATGACTGGGCAGGATCTCCAGCAGTTCATACCATGTCTTTGAGGGAAGCCATGGTCATGGAAGGTTTGACCTTTAGGAAAATGGGAGTAGTGATCATCTGGGCATCTTCCACACCTACCCACAGCCTAGAAGAAAGGAGAGGCATCGTGAGAAGGTCACTCACCAGGTCTGCCCCCAAGCTCTTCCCCCCTCCACAGTTCTGTTAGCCACCGACTTGTTCACTCTACCAAGATCAGCGGTCACCTGTCCTGAACCCACAGTTGTTCCTGAATGTGCGTCCTCCACCTTCTCCATCCCAGCTGCGTTTCTGTTAAGCAGCCTTGCCTAACCTAGCACCCTCCAGGTATGATGGAGTACAAGTCCAAGAATTATCAGCCGCGAGGATTTTTGCCATGGTGGCTTGGACCTCTGGCAGCTGTAGTCCAGGACATCTTTGAGGATCGAAGACCAGAAATAAGGACCTTACCATGCAAAGTGATAAAAAGGTAAAGTCTTCTTTAAGTCAAACTTGGCTCCCAACAGGCCCATCCATATACCTTTTAGGGGCAACGGTATGGATGTAGTTTGCTACTGACTTCCTCCTTGATTTTCTTTTGACTTCCCAGTCTACCTACAGCCTTGGGATTTGCTGATAGTCTCCCATCCAAATCCTAACCAGGTCTGATTCTGCTTAGCTTTCCAAGATCAGCCAGGGTCAGTTAGAAGCTGCCACTTGCTCTAAATCTAAGCTCAAAGCCTTACTATTATTGCAGCAAGCCTATTGCTTTTTGCTAGTTAGTAGTAGTAGGAACAAATGGATATTGGCCAAATAACATAAAAACTGTTGCTATTAGGGATATCAATACTACCCCCTTTATCCTGATGGGAAAGAATGGCAAGTTCTCAGCTCTTCTTTGAGCATCTTCAACTTCCAAAATCATGTCTTTGACATCCCAACCAGGGCTGAGCGGCTCCTTGGAGGTCAGAGAGGTCAACTTTATGGCTTGTGGAAGGAGATGTCTTAGCAGGTAAAGGGATGGGCTGGGTCAACCCTGTGTGGAAATCCACTTTCCTGGGTTTTTGGCAAGCCAGTTGGGACTCTAACTGTAAAGGAATTCAGAGCCTGGGACAGGCATGAGCAAGCCGTTAAGGAAGGACTTGGAGAAGCGATGGTCCAGTCCAGAGGCAGAAGGGAGCGTAAAAAGAAACTCAAAATAACCCCACCTTGATTTTGTTCAGTGGAAGATGGGACAGAGAGAAACTTTGGCAGGCTTTCAAGATTCTGTTGCTATACCCTACAATAAAACAGCATTCCTGGAATCCTTATGGTGTCTGTTTCTCGACCTGGCCTACCTTGAAGGGCTGCCAATAACACAGCAACATTTCTGTTTCCCACCTCAAAACGATGGGCAACCAAATGCTGAGGGTGCCATAGCAGTAGACTCCAAAGGTTTGGAGGCCACACGATTCCCCCCACCCAGCTTAAAGAGTTTGGGATGAGTTTAGGGCACTCCTGGAGAATCGGGCTGTCAAAATCCACATTCAGCACTGCATCACCTCCTAGGCCATCACCTAATGTCTTGCTTGGGGTAGGCGTCCGGTTCCAGCTGCACCCTGATGGGGACACGTCGCTCAGCCAGCCAGATGGCACATTGTTGGGCCACCTCTTCCTCCCCGCCTCTGATCGCCTCCGCCAGCCTCAGGGCTTGCTGCTCAGCTGAGGAGGAGAGGAGCCAGTTCAGCTGCAGGGCTCCTTGCCACAGGACCCTGCCCTGCCCCCCGTGACCCATCTCTTTCTTTCTTTCTTTCTTTCTTTCTTTATTTCTTTCTTTCTTTCTCTCATGCCATTTGTATAGCCGCCCATCTCAAACCAGCGACTCTGGGCAGCGACATTTCTTTATTTATACCCTGACATCTGCATCTAAAGCTCCATAACTTAAGGGAGATAGCCAGGCATGGCGTCCCCAGCGGGCTTAAGAACGTCACCATGCAAACGCCAGCCTTAGGTCTGTGTTTTCATGCCCATTCTGTGTTTGCAGAGTGAAAGCCAGTTTGGTGTAGTGGCTAGGGGACTGAGAGTTCTGGTCCTCCCTTTGGCATGGAAAATGGATGGGTGATTTTGGGCCGGTCGCTCTCTCGCAACCCGACCCAACTCCCAAGGCTGTGGTTGTGGGGAAAAGCAGGAGGAAGTGGCACTAGCGATGCTGCCCAGAGTTGCACAAAATAACAGTGGGATAAATAAATAAATGTTGCTGCCCCCCCCCCCCCCCCCCCCCCCG